CATATAAACAAATTAAAGAAAATTTACTTTTTTTCTTTAAAAAACCTTAAAGAATTTGTTAGTTATAAATATAACCAACAAAGAATTATATTATTCATAAAGATGGAAAGAATATTTGATCAAGCATTCGATATCTATTTGGATGAAGAATGGAAAGGAGGATATAATTATGATATTAAAGAAAGATTAAAAACATTCTTACAAACAAAACATATTAAATACAGATCATTTATAAAATATTGTAATTATTCGAGAAATGATTTTAGAAAATTTTTGATTCTTGGACAAGATGTTAGCAGAAAAAGTTATATTCTTAACAAAAAAAGTCTTCGTTCTATTATAAAGAAAACATATCTTAAGCATATAAATAAAGGTCAAATAAAACGAAGCTATCCGATCATTTTATATAATTTAGGAAATTGTTTCAGATTTTATAAGAAAAAAGAATTAATGTTTGAATTCTTTGAAAGATCTGGAAAGCTTGGTTTTAAAAAAACAATTCAAGCAATCTATGATAAGACAATGTGGATAACTTTAAGTGAAAGATCATTTTTAAAAGTAGACGAAGAAAGATTTCACAAGAGCTTGAAATATATCTGTGAGAAATAAATATTGTGTAACTTTGTTAGTTATAAATATAACCAACAGAGAAGTTAAATATTCAACGATCAAAATGAAAAACATATTATCATTACCATTAGAATTAATCGTCAAGATATTTGAATATCTACCTGATCAGAAAAATCAATATAGATTAGGTAAAACAAACAAGTTTTTATGGCAAATATATCAACAAAAAGTAATATCTAATCCACAATATTATAATGGATATGTGAACAATATGTTAAACATATTTAATCCATTACGAATAAAATTCATAAGGATTGAAGGAGTTGGAAAGAAAAAAGTAGTAGTATTTGATGGAAAATATGAAAGATGTAAGGAATGTAGACGACGTCGATTTTATTGTGATATATTATGAGAATGTCAATTTTGTAAGATAAACAAAATCACGTGTGTGAAGTCAGAGTTTATACGAAAGAGGATATTTTATGATAAAACTCTTGGAAACCAATATTGTTTACCTATAAATAAATATATATTTGGAAATAATAGGATAAACTTAGTACATGTAACAGATATAGATAATATAGGAAAACGAATATGTGATAAATGTAGAGAATTAAAATTCTGCAATGCAAATTCGATGATAAATAACAACTGCTGTGGAATCAGAACATGTCAGATGAATAACGTGAGAAATCCAATGTTCACATTTAACAATATTGGGATGTTTGTACATCATCACGTGCTTTGTTTGGAATGTTTTAATTCATGTAAAAAAGATATTCTTATAATTCTTCGAAATAGTAATGTATTTAGAGTATCATAACTTGTTTAGTATACTATTACACCAAATAAGAATTTAAATATATAATCATGGGAAAGTATCCAGGAAAACCACGTCTTTTAGTTGAACAAAATAAAGAAAAAATCAAACAACCACGAAAGAAGAGGATTAAAAA